AGAGAGAGAGAGTAGAGTAGAGAGAGACGAGAGAGAGAGAGACGACGAGAGAAGAGAAGNGAGAGAGAGAGAGAGAGAGAGAGAGAGAGAGAGAGAGAGAGAGAGAGAGAGAGAGGTCTGAACAAGGTGAAGAGAATGGGGGAAGACCCATCCTTATATAGGCCCTAATGGCCCTAGGGTTCTAATCTTAATTAGGATTCAATTTGACTTTAAGATGCATAGGTAATTTGTGAGATGAGGGACAAAAATCAGAGCCATCATGTTTAGAAAAGAATTTAGGAACCTTATCCCCTGAATCTTTGACCCATATCCACTTGTAATTATACTAGGTAAGTAGGTCTTCCACAGTCCCATAAAATATTGACTTGGACTCACATATAAATAACTTCTAATATCTTTAGAAATCATAATCAACATGCAAATCCAGATCGAAGTCAAAAGGAAAATATTCCGACCAACTAAATCTTTCAAAAAACTCATCCAAAATATTTTCCCAAGATTTCACAGCAAACCATAACCTTAAATAGATTTTCTCAACGAATGCCAACCTGAATGGGAAAGCTAGCGGCATCCCACTGTATGGGGCGTGTGGCCCATGTGGACTCCTCGTGTGGGGGCTGTGCCCTTGGCCCCTCCACGTGGATCCCACTATGGCCCTTTAAAAATCAGAAATATCAACACTGTCCTTATAGGGTTTTTATGCATAAAATAACTTTTTAAAAAATTCTGAAAATATAAAAATTCTGAAAAATATTTTCAAACCGAAGGAGCAAAATGTTGAAAACAATATTTCTGATGTTCATTAAAAAAAAAAATCTAAAACACTTAGAAATAGCTATAGAGGTGGATTGGTATCAATAGGTTAAGAAAAGTGACGATCAAGACTCCACTAGTACTAGGATCCGTGATCAATAACTATCTTCTCAAACCAATCCAGCAAAACCCATGACCCACACTTGTACGCAGAGGCTCATGGTTGGCCTGTCAACCTTACTAATAAATAGTGAAATCACGGTCCTAGTATGTGGATTACAGGTCCCCCCAAGAGCAAGTCTCACAAACGTATTCCTATAGTGAAAGGGAACTCTCTATGCATATGTAGATGTTTTGCTTTGCAGGGTTGCTTCCCAGAATGTGGCTGTCATATGTAGATGCCGTGAAGAAGTTTGTTGAGAATTTGACCCTCGCTCTCACAAGCCTATAATTGCATATAGGAGGCCACCAAGTTCTCGTGGCCTACACACATCATTCGTGAGGCACCTCTCCGACTTCAACAAGGGATGACCCTCCTGAAAACCTCAACTGTTGTGCCTATCCGTAGGGGAAAGAGTTTCTTTGTCTTTGACAATGTTTTAAATATCTCTTATCTAGATCAGAATCACTTGATCCGGATTGGAAATCATTGTAGCTAGTCTGGTTCCCATCATGTATCAGGAACCAACAGGGTTCCCCCTTAATCGGTTAGTTCCGACCGATTCTGTCAGCATAGAACTGGCTGGTTCAGTCCTGAAATGGTCGACTGGCCCATACTGTTTGATAAAGTGTATTTTTATTTGTACTTTCAGAATTTTTTGATAGATGTGCACTTTTTAAAGGTTTTTATAAAGTGTGGTGCGGCCCACCCAATGTATTGTGTTTTGTTGCTTTTTTCAAAGCTGCCATCTCATCGCTTACGATACACTCATGCGTAAGCATGGCGGAGCTAGTGGCCCTTGTGCTAGTGGCTAATACTCATGGTACGACACCTACACATAAGTCTTTTAAAGAGGCTTTTGCTTCTTTACATCCCCGGTGTGGGACTTTTCTCTCGCTTCTTAACTACCACATAAAACACCTTGGTGCAAATAAATTTTAGGGTGAATAGCACTATTGCATGGGACATTTTAGCGAATATATTTGGGGCTGAATAGCACACTATTGCATGGGGCATTTAAAAAAATAAAAAACACTAGTTGATAGGGAAGTCCATACTCCCACTTCAAAATTTGTTTTCAAGTTTCTCTATGCATTTTTCTAATTGCAAACATAAATTTATTTATTCTTCTAATTTTATTAAAATATGATTACAAATTCATGTTTCTAAATTCTATATATCTGTTTGTATTAATTATTTATTTGGCATATACTTTTTGCTAGCTAAATCTCATGTAGTGGAGATGTTTTTTTTTTGGTAATTGTAACTTTGTGGTGAGACTGGATATATATAATTTAATTAATATGAATTTAAGGTTGTTTTAAAAAAAATTGTAAAGAAAAAGGAACCTTTAGAATAGCAAAAGCATGTCTGGTGAGAAAGCAGAAATGGAGGGTCATAGCTTTTTTCCCCGATTGCCATTTTGGTTTAATAAAAGCACGATAGCTCATTGAGAGGGTCATATCTTTTTTTCTCTATATTAAATCAAAAAGTCCAAAACTATTGTTCTATTCCTTTTTTTCGCCATAAAAATTTGAGTTAGAGACATCCATTTTATTGCAATGAATTGCGTTTTAAATTTTATTTTGACCATAAAATGGATGTAAAGGATGACAAACACTCAGACATGAGACAAGTTTTCAATATTTATGTATTTTAATAAAGTAATAAAAAATTATAATGTGATACCATTATTTTTTTGGGAAACCAAATTTAAGAGATCCTAGTGATTTTTTAAAATTTATTTGAAGCCGGATCTTGCCGATCCGGCCGATTTTCTGATGCGGATCACCGATCCACCTATCCGACATGGTTTTGGGGTAGCCAATCTAGGTCACCAATCCATTTTTTTAAACCTTGGTTTTTAATGAAATAACCCTTTGTATTAATAAAACTAAGATGTAGAAAATCCTTTGTATGAGTTGGCTGAAAAAAATTGCAGTATGTAACTATAAGGTTTCTACCAAATTGAATCCAAAATTGTACTCATAAGAAGATTGGGTCTCAAAGGCTCCATCTTTGGCAAGTTAACCCGTAGATGCATTTGCCTCAGACCACGAGTATTTGAAAGATACTTTTAGTGAGCTGCAGATGTTGAAGACATGATCAAAGGTAGCTTTCAATCTTGAGGAACAGGTGAAGCTTTTTTCACCCAGTTAATGGCTCTTGGGATTCTCTTTCTATCAATAAAGAGGAGCACCAATTCCTGTCAATCACTTTTGAGTCTAGCAAGCAAAGCTTCAGACTTTGCATATGTCACATTGGTCATGCTTATGGGACCTGACTAGGTAGTTGAGTCTGGCAAAGATGATCTTTGAAGATGTCTCCAATGCTTGTAGGACCTGGATTGCCGAGGAAGCAGCCATTGTTAACACTGGGCTTGGGCAGGATCTTGTGGGAGGATTTGGAGATTGTTTGCAGTCTCGACTGTTTCAACTCATGCAAGGTTTGAGTCGAGCTGGACTCTCCAAGCTCTTGAAGCAAGTCACCCTGTTCAACTTGGGCGGGGTTTGAGTTGGAACATATTTTCTCACCAAATAAATTAATATTTTTTTAAAAAAATTAGAGACTCGGGGAAAGTGTCGAGGGTTTGCCTCAAGTCTTGCTAGGACACCAAGCCAAGGCGACTCCTAAGCTGTCTCCCATTTCTTAATGATTGATCTTGAGGGAGGGCCTTGTTAGAAATGACTAGTCAATTCATTAAAGGCTTGGATTTTGGATGGCATAGGAGAGAGCCATGGTCTCAAGGCAATGACTGAGTTTAGTTGGATGGGGTCGGGGTTGTGGTAAAAAAACGAGTTTGAGAACATACCTGTAAGAGAGAGGCTCCAGATCATTTGTCCTCTGGAGGATGAAATGGGTGTTGAGGAGTTCCAAACTGGACACCAAGTCCGAGGTCTAACGTCAAGAAGGTTCCTCCTGGAATTTGGAGAACTGATGGTTTGGCTCCCACTAACTTCATATGTGCACAGAAAGTAGCTTTATGATCTGCCATAGACACTTCAATGGAAACCACGACATTGTCTAGACTGAGTGATAAAGTAAGGATTGCCCAAAGTGGGGCAGCTAGCCATGCTACAGGTATTCCTGGTAAATTTCGGACTTTTGCCCACTATTTTGGTAGTGGTTTTGTAATAACTAGAGATGGGTCCTCATTCCTTATCACGCATGTGGAAATATCTTCTAAATTGTTCTGAATGTCCCGGAATAGTATGTTTTTAGTCCGTAAAATCAAGCTTAGCCTTATTTCAGTATCTCTATTGACTCAAGAAAATAAGTCCAACTTTGTTTTAACACTGTCCTCAGTTTATTTGAAGGCCCATTGTCCAAGACAATGTTCACTGAGGGAATTCGACAAGGACATCTATATGTGTCGAATGATGGATCGAGGAAGCTCCCATTGTTAGTCTCTTCATTTCAAATCAGCGAGGATGTGAATGTTTGACATCACTAAGTCATTGCAGTGTTGATTCAATCAGTAGGTTATTTGAAGAGGGTTTAATCCCAACATTATTTGAAAGATAGAGAATTTGTTTTTATGTCACGTTTGTCAGTTGGGTAGACATTCCCAAATTCTCTTTTCCAATTCTTACAAAAGATCTTTCTTGCTTTTTGAATTAATTCATTCCTATGTATGGGGAGCTACACCAGTTGATTTTTCTTCTCATACCAAATATTATGTGATCTTTGTCGTTGATTTTTCGGGGTATACTTGGATTTATTTCCTCCAGGAAAAATCTCAAGTATTCAAAACATTTGTACAATTTAAAAATTTGTTGAGAACCATTTTCATAGACCAATCTTTTTTTTGTTCATAGTGATGGGGGAGCTGAGTTCTCATCTCATGCATTAAGAATTACTTAAAGAATAATGAGGTAGAGCAACAAATTTGTGTCTCTATAGTCCACAATCAAATGGTGTAGTGGAACGAAGGCATCACCATATTGGCAAGGTTTCCTTTTCCTTGATGTACGCTCGTGGGATAAAAAAATATTCACGTGCTGAAGCTTTTCACATGACTGGTTATGCCTACATAGATTGCCTTCTAAGTTTTGAATGACCAAACTCCTTATGATGTGTTTTATGATAAGCCTGTTGATTATTCATTTCTTTGATCTTTTGGATGTAATGCTTTATGTTTATGTAGGTCAGAGTCAAAGGAAAAAACTTTCTTCTAAAGCAGAAGCATGTGTTTTTTATTGGATATTAAGACAGTTATAAATGCTATTGCTATTCTAGCCCTAGGAATAAACGTGTCCGCATCTCAAGAAATGTTCCTTGATGAAAAGAGGATGTGCAATCCACCTAAAACTATTTTACATGCAAGATGAAAACAGGGCAAGTGAGGGCATGGTTCGAGATAATTAGCAGGATTCAGCTCGTCTGCCACCCCATTCACCTCCCTATAGACATGATTGTAGCCCATGTCTTTCCAAGTAGAAGTTCCCAAGTTCCATAAATGGCTTACCTAACAGCTAAGGTAGGGAGGAGCCCTACATTACCCCAACCACCCGACGAGTAACTGCCCCTTGAGGTGCTACGCTTTGCAGCTGGCCCGATCCAAAGCAATCCGGGTCTATGTTTATTTTCAACTCCTTAAAGCATTTTGTCGCTTGCTACACCCTTCCTCCTCTTTGGGTGAATACGTATCTATCATAAGCCTTTCTTCATTTCAACCTCGCCATTAACGTTAGGTCTATGCCATCCTAACCTAAGGTGCTACTAGAATGGAAGGATCTTATAAACATCCATGAATGAGAAATATGTATGCAAACTGAAAATATCTATTTATGGTGTAAAGCAAGCCTCTTCTACCTGATTTCAAAGTTTTTATCATGCAATAGAGGTCTATGGTTCTATGAGGACAACAAGGGATCACTCCTTATTCATTCACAATAGTACTAAAGGTATTGTGCTCATCCTCTTAATGTATGATAATCACAGGAAGTTCTGCAAGCCTTATAGCAAATATTGAGAGAACTCTCCTTGACAAGTTTAAAATGAAAGATTTGAGAGAGCTGAGATATTTTTCCGGGGATAGAAGTGGATTCGACCAGGGTCAAAATTCAATTGTCTCAACATAAATATGCACTGGATTCACTGTAGGGATATGATAAGTTGAATTTGCAAACCATCGGTTACACCTGTGGTGCTTAACACAAGGTTGAGACTGGAAATACCAAAGCATGTAGGTAGCTTCAGTATCTTAACTTAATCATACTCACATTGCATTTGCAGTCAATCAGGTATGCCAATTTATGCATGCTCCTACCAATGTTCACTTGGAAGCCTTAAAACGAAGAGTCTGATATATCAAGGGTACTATCAATCAAGGCATTACGGATCATAGAAATCATATGGAAGATGTGTTTGTTGCTTCCATTATTGGAAAGTTGGATGCCGAATGGGCAGGAGATCCTAACTCAACCAAGTCAGTTTCAAGATATTATGTTTATTTAGAAAGAAATTGGGTATCCTGGATGAGCAAGAGCAAAAATCTCATCTATGGCTAGATCGAGCATAGAAACTAAATACAGAGGCTAATGTTGTGGCAGAAATCTCTTGGATTCGAAATTTGATCATATGGCTTGGATATAAGGTGCAGCGCTTAACAATTTATAGTGATAATTAAAGGGCACTAGCTATCCCAACTAATCCTTTTTTTATGGTTGCACCAAACACACCTACATCGATTATCATTTTGTGCGCGAGACGATAGAATAAGGCGATTCAAGTATGCTGCAGGGAAATTTGAGGGAACAGGAAAATCAACAAGCAACAAAGCTAAACACATGCACAAGTCAAAGAAACCTGGAGTTTCTTCTCCATACGCCAAGCAAGGATTCTAAAAGCCTAAGCTTTCTCTTTTTCAATTTCTAAAATTCATGTGATGAAGGGTTTCTTCTCCATAACCCAAGGGTACTAAGAGCCTAAGCTTTCTCTTTTTCAATTTCTAAAAATCATGTGGAATTTGACCCTCTCAAGGCCCCACACATCTCTTATATATTATAATTCAATGTTCAAAGGCATTACATGCCCATATAATGATTAAAATGACCTATATCTCCTAACTTAAACTAAAATTTTATAATGACATTTTTACCCCTATGAATAGTACCTGTGAACAGTACTCGTGAATAGTATTTATAAATAATATTCATGAAATAAATAAAAAATATAAAAACCCTAAAATACTAAAAAAACCTAAGAAATAACCCCTAAATATAATATACATCCTTTAAAGTTGAATAAAAATAAAAAAATATGAACAATTTTTCCTTCCATCATTCTCCCCTGGTTGAAAAAACTTGTCCTCTAGTTTTGAAGTGTGCTAAGATGAAATTGGTTTTAGTCCGGCAACATTCTTCAACTTGAATATTATAGACATGACCTTGGAACTTGTGGGTTACAACACTGATGAAAACACGATGATTATGCATTGGAATTAAGAAACCCTAGAGAAAAGGGTCACTGTATGTCAATAGAATATTTTTAATCACATAAACTTGTTTAAATTGCATCACTTCATATATGTAACCTTGCTGAATTTGCCCAGGCTTAACTCTTAAAAACATACCACGAGTGCATCTTTGAGATCCGCGATTAAGCCAACAACTTCACCTTTCAATTCTCCTTTGAGTCCATTTTTTCCTCATCTAATACCAATTGAACCACAAAATCTTGATCATCATCATAGATTGGATCTCTTACAAGATCTTGTTTATCATCGTAGATTGGATCTCTTACAAGATCTTGTTCTTCATCTAAATATGCATCGAAGATTGGTGGTAGATCTCAATTTACATCCTGCTGATTTTCGATACGATTTGTATCAAAATCGAGAGTTTTGTCCTCTAAATCGAAAATCCTAGAGTGATGTTCCCCACATTTAGGTCTTCTGTTTCTATCCTTATCACTTGATTCCCCACGTGGAGCGTAAAGAGAAAAATCTTGTACTCGAGGTCCTCTTGGGCTGAAAGATCACCGTCTTATCCATTATTGAGGCTCGCGTACTGCTCCGCAAGTTGATGTACTTGCCGTTCAAGTTCTTCAATTCTGTCATCTATGGGATCACATAGTCGATCCACGAAAATCCCTCTGTTATGGTCCCTTCTTGCTGCCAGGGGTTTGACGAAATCACAAACCCTAGGAAAATAATCATAAAAAATTGCTGAAATTAGCAAGATCTAGGTTGTTTTGGCAAAACTTTGGCCAAAATCAGCAAATCATAAACCCTACTATAACTTCCCTCTCTTTGTTGTTGATCTAGGGCACCAAAAAATGTGGTGCTATAGTAACTCTGTACGTGTTAGAGTAACTTCCGTATGTGCTGCAATAACTTTTGTGTAGATCGCGAGCTTTGATATCAATTTGATGTAGGGAAATTTGAGAGAACAATAAAATCAACAAGAAACAAAGCTCAATACAACACAAGTCTAAGAAACTTAGGGTTTTTTCTCCATACCCCAAGCTAGCCTAAGCTTTCTCTTTTTCAATTTCTAAAAAATCATGTAAAATTGACCCTCTCAAGGTCCCACACACCTCTTATATATTATAATTCAATGTTCAAAGATATTATATATCCATACAATGATTAAAATGACCTATGTATCCTAACTTAAACTTAAATTTAAATTTTATAATGATTTTTTTACTCCTATGAATAGTACCCATGAACAGTATTCATGAATAGTATTTTATGAATAGTACTCAAGAAATAAATAAAAAAAAATTGAAAACCCTAGAATTCCTAAAAAAACTAGAAAACCCCCTTAGAAATAAACCCTAAAACCAAAATTATAATATACATCCTTTGAAATTGAATAAAAAAAAAATGAACGATTTTTCCCTCCATCAAATAAGACACATTGGGACTAAGTATTAAACAACTAATATCTTTATCCAAGAACACAAGTGAAATATATCATTTTCTAAAGGGCAAATTGAACATGTTCAAGCATGAGAAGCAATTTATGTGTTGAGACTATTTACTTATGTATAATGAACACTGTAGTCATTTTATATTTTATGTTGTACCATGATGTCACATAATTATAATCAAGGGCACCAGTGTAGAATGCAAATCATCATCGACATCATCATCATCCTAGTCTTTTCTCAACTATTTAGGGTTGGGGTACACGAATCCTATTCTACGATTTTTCTCTACGATTACCATTTTATTCTTCGAGGGCCATACCTTCAGTCAAACCATAAGTCACCATATTTTTTCTCACGAATTTCATCAATGTATTTTGGGTTCTTCGCCATGCACTTTTAGAGCCTTCCACTGGATCCAAATTACCTCTTCTAACTAGTGTTGCTCTAGGTCAATGCTACATGTGACTAGACGACCTGACTACTTTCCCTCATTTTCATGGCTTATTGGAGCTACTCCTAAGGTTCTCCCGAATGTATTCATTCCTAATTCTATCGTTCTTGTCTTGCTACTCATCCATCTTAACATCCTCATCTCAGCTACACTTATTCTATAGATATGTTGTTTCTCGATTGCCCAACATTCCGTCACATAATGTATGGCCGTTCTTATAACCATCTTATAGAAAGCCCTTTAGTTTCATTGGTATGAGACAATCACGTAAGACTCCAAAAGCATTTTTCCACTTCGTCCATACAGCTGTAGTTCTATGAGCAACATCTTTGTTCGTCTCTCTTTTCTCATGGATTATCGATGCAAGATACCAAAAATAATCTCTTTTGGCCATCAATCTTAATTAATTCTTCTTTTGTACTCCTATTATTACTAAAATTGTATTCCGCATATTCTATCTTAGTCCAACTAATTTTAAAACCTTTCGATTTTAAAGTAACCCTCTAAAGTTTTGACTTTGCATTTACACCATCTATAGTCCTATCAATCAAAACTATATCATATGCAAACAACATATTCGGTGGGAACAAAATACACCATGGGAAGTATACAATGGAAATATATATATTTAATAAGAGGCACAAGACCCAAGTAAGATCTTAAGGGGGATTTCACGTACTCTTCTCTTTCTTGTTCTCTTTCTTTCTGTGCCACTAGTTTCTGTCACATGTATGCCCTTTTGCCATCAACCTGGCCTTTAACCTATCAATAGTACCACTTGGCTTATATTTGACTTCATAAACCTGACGACATCCTACATTTTGCCACTCGATTGGAGTGCTGCCTTTCCCCATCCATCGCTCTCTTCTACCTAAAATATTGGAAAGAGCTTTATGGTAGGACTTGGATATAGAAATAGAGGAAAGCAAAAAAGCGAACTTTTGATATGTAGGAGATAAATTTGTGAATGTAAACTAATGGAATGCTGAGTGAAAGACTGTTGACCTTTACGGTTGGCTATTGGAACATCAACATTACCAGAAACTGAAGTGCGATCAGAAACTGGGATTGGGTTTTATGACAACGATGAAGACTGATTTTCTTGCTGAGTTGGCGGTGATTGTAGTTCCTTCACACTCCTCATATATATCTTTCAGGGCTTGCTTCTGTGGCTTATTAACAAGAGTAGAGGCAGACTCTACAGAGGTAGGTAATTGAGATTGTGATAAATGGCCTTCAAGAGGAATAAAACAATAAGTAAAGAAGGGGAAGAAGGATGCACTTCCTTGTATGAAGTTTCCTCGTGAGCAAGATAAAATAAATCAGCTCAAGCATTCAATCCTTGTTAGAGAAATATGGAGTATTCTTAAAAAAAAGTGATATCACCACAAACAAATTTCTTTCTCGAACCAGGATGATAGCATCGAAAACTTTTTTGGATGCGAGATCTCAGAAATACACACTTAATAGCTCAAGGATCTAACTTGTCAGTACTAGGACCTAATGCATGAACACAAGCACAACCAAATAGATGCTCAGTACT